CCAATTATTATGATGATGCCGATCTGGACGAACACTTTCGAAATTTACTGTTGGACGCTGAAAACGAAGGCGGCGATACAGATGATTCACAGGATTCGCAGGCAACTTTCTCCCCAAGAGAAGATTATACTTCAGATTACAGACTAGCGAAAAATTTTATGGAAAGAAGAACTCATCTAGTTGCTACTTTGAGGACTACTTACACAGAAACATCATATACTGTGAGTTTTTGGGAAAATTAGAGGTGGCTGTATCATTTTGCGACGCACTGTATTTGAAGCTTCTCAGTTGAGAAACACGATGACACAAAAAACAAACACACGCTTGCTAACGACATATGCTAGAACACGCTACAATCACATTTCAAAATATCTCCTACTGGTGCTGATGGAGGCCCAAAGTCTTCTCTCAACCTAATCGCATGTTACACGCAGGTATCCTCCTTAATTTTTGCGAGCCCTTCTCCAGTCTTGCTTTGTAGGACTCCAAACTAGGATCGCAGACTCGACAGGTCTTCTTCACCAACGACCATAAGGGGGAGTCGAAGTGTAGAAATGACGATGAATGTAGGGAAATCAGAAGGACCGGCTCCGACATTCAGCTGACTACAGTTGAACAACACTGTGCGACATGATCTACTCATCGCTCAGCGCATCCTCAGTAGAGTAGAACTGCTCGAAGCACTCCTTGTCGGTGTAGAACATTTGGCCGGTTTCGAGCCACTATTCACCTCATCTTGGGGCTGCAGGGATAGAGCGCCTTCTGTCGCTTCCCCAGGGGTCTAACATCAGTAAGAATTTCCTATGGCCATTTCGAGCGATATCATCTGTCCGAAACAAAGCTATCATTACAGGTTCGTGTTGGGCTGTCTCTGCCGCTGGAGCAATCAATGTCTGATCGTATTTGCGTCCAGACAAAAGGAAGGGTGCAAGTTAGTTATCCGATTCCCTCTGATTCCTGTGGTAAACTCAAGAGATCCTGCACTGCAGACAGAACATAAGTTTTTCTAGTTATGTGCGAGTTTTCCGCTTAGGTAAGTTGTGAGCACATTTCTCCTTCTCCGTACTTACCGCGTTTGTTCTACAATGGCATGCCACACAAAGCGTATTTATCCGACCTTGTGAATGACTGTATTCATGTCATAAAAAATATAGGGCCTGTATAGGATTTAACGACATAGGATTTCAATGAAAAAAGGATGATCTCTCATTATGACTAAAAGCTTCCGCCACAATATGGAATTTCTGGAAGGGAAAGACCTAGGAAGGTTTCGAAAAGCCAGAATCGACGGATTCCGCGTGTACTTAACTTGACTATGTGCGTGCAGCAGTTGAGTAAGGGAATGGCACCTGATGTTTTGAAATGTGCAGTGTGCAAATATTGATCCTGCGTCGTGCATAGAAAGCTTTCGACTACGCCCCCACACTTTCGACTACGCTTTCGACTACATGTGATCAGAACAATGTTCCATCAATAGTTCACTGCAACTTACGAAGTCTAGACTGGACTGAGAGGTTTAATTTTCAGAAACTGATTTCGGGCGCCGATATACTCGCTTGCTGTGGTAATGAATGTGGAAAAGGATGGGTTCATAGCTTGACAGATGAAAAATGGTCATGAACTATGTATGTACATAGCTCTTCGTTTCATTGATCAAATTTACACCTACAATAATTTGATCCATGACTTGAGCACAATGTTTATGCTCATGGC